CTCCCCGCTCCGATCTGCCAGCGCTGACTGGCGGAACGGACGGGGGAGGGGGCGGGTACAGCTGGCTCTGCCTCTAGATAGGCAGAGCCAGCTGTCAGTCACGCAGCTGGGCGGATCTCGACATCAATGTCGGGATCCGCTCCGGCTGCGGCGTCTCAGTATACCGCGAGCTGTAGCTGGCGGTATACTGAGCTTAAGGTAACAGGAGGATGCTAGTTTGTGTCCTCCCGTTACCCTAAGGAGAACTATGGGGAAAAGCACTGACCCCATAGTTCTCCTTTAAGGAAACCTAAAGCTGTACAATTACCCAACACAACTTCTGAAATGACATGAACATGTTAAAGCTTATATGAGATTCCAGTGACTGGGTTGCGTGTCATTCTGATCAGGGAACATACATGTTGGGCACAGGAAGGCTGTGTGGAAGTCTAGTAACACATTTCCAGATATGATTCGTCTATGTCGGGCATCTTTGTGAAGCACAGGACATTATATCCACCGTGCTACCTCAGGTACCAAGACCAAAATAACATTGCATTGTCTTTCTATTCTATGTAACAAGTCTTGCTATCCAGACATCCCTTCCAGACAACATAGCACTTCTCTGCTCCTGAGCCATACAGGTTGGTCTGGGACCCTCCTCCACCCTGTATATGGACAACGCAGGAGCAGCAGGATATCACTCAGGTTATAACGCTGCTCTTTGCCGTACTCACAGTCTTTATGAACTCCATGTAGTTGGCATCCTTTGCATAGGAGCCGTACTCATTCTCCACCTGGACCGCGATTATGGCTCCTCCCCTGGAGTACTGTGGAAAGTACAATGAGACAGATCAGGTGATAGGAAAAGAGAGACATCCACTAATTGAGTATTATTGTAATAGCTATCCAACCCTCATCCAACCCAACCGTCTACTCTGCACCAGAGTGATCCATCCGAGCCAAAATACGGTGGAAAATGACAATGTGCATCGAAACGCTATAAAAAGAAAAAAGTAGCACAAAAGGATGGGAGGAGCTGGGATCTTTTTATCATAGAGTCCAATAATGTTAATAGGAGCCTCTTTCATGGAGCTTGGTCGCACGGATGTGGCTTCACTCCCACCAGAGCTGGCCCCAAACTGAAGGAGGGGCCTTGGAGAAATCTATCAAAAAACAGGGAGCGCCAGCAGACGTAGAAGAGTCCACGGTGTTTTTATTGGTAGAAATGAAACAGCATCAAAATCCACTGTGTATGCGGCGTCCACACAATCCACCTTCATCGGGGTTTGAGGAGTATTCAGAGAGGACTCCCTTATGGCAGGGGTAGGCAGTCTCTGAACCCTCCAGCTGTGGGGCAACTACAAATCCCAAGAGGCATTGCAAGACTCTGACAACCACAGGCATGACTCCCTTATGGCAGAGGTAGGCAGTCTCCGAACCCTCCAGCTGGGGTGCAACTACAAATCCCCATAGGCAAGACTCTGACAGCCACAGGCATGACTGCCAGAGACAGATGTATGATGGAATCCCCTAAGTAGAGAGATTGTCCTAATAACCCGGAGTCCAGTTTATTCCCTTTGGGATTCGCCTCTGAATACTCCTCAAGCCCCGATAAAGGGGAACTGTGTGAACCCCCAAAATTTGTTGGATTTTTGTTGCTGTTTTATTTCTACCAAAAAAAAAAAAAACATCCTGGACTCGCCTACGTCTGGTGGCCCGCCATTTATTGCTTCAATGAAGGAAAAAAAGACAGTTTATATGTTATACCCTTTTATAAGTGACATAGACTAGACATCCCAGAAATGATGAAAAGATAACCTGTCATTATAGAAATATGGGGTCATATTGTGGGGTTGCCGCTGGCACGGTGGCTCGCTCCCTGGTTGCCATGCTCACCCACAAGACACTGATCTGCAATACGTAGGCAGCCAGTTAAGTGCGTAGGAAACCAGACTTGCACCCAGACTTGACGTTACACTCACCTGATGTTTGATCACTCTGGGGATAAGTTCATCGAAATACGCTTCAGTTGGCTGTGCGAAGCCCTTATACGTTGTGCGTAGTTGCATGTCTTTGTCACGCAGTAGCCAGCTGTGAGGAGAAACAGTGCCTGAGTGGGACACATGTGGAGACGACAGCAGACGATGGGATGGATGTCACATGTGACACTGGCAGGGCATGCTGGGACATATAGCTGTGACTGGCCCCGGTGACCTGTGATGCAGCCCTGTATACACTCACCTAGGCAATCCTCCCAGATCCCACTCCGCGCATATGTAGGGCCCTGGGCGTAGAATCACCCATAATCCCACTTCAGCTGCTGTATCTAGAAAGGCCCTGTGTACAATTGGAGAAAGTAATCATTATTGATGATACGATAGATAGATAGATAGATAGATAGATAGATATCTCTCTCTCTCTATATATATATATAGAGAGAGAGAGAGAGAGAGAGAGAGAGAGATATCTCTCTATTATATATATAATAGAGAGACAGAGATCTCTGTATATATATAGATAGATAGATAGATAGATAGATAGATAGATAGATAGATAGATAGATAGGATAGATATATAGATAGCAGGGATGGTTAAACTGCAGTCCTCCAGCGTCCCATGAGGCATTGTAAGACTTTCAGAGTCTTGCAATGCCTCATGGGACTTATAGTTCCACAGCAGCTGGAGGGCCAGAGTTTAGCTACCCCTGTTCTAGAGCAGCGTTCCTCAACCTTTTTTCCAGCCGCAGCACTCTTTAAAAGTATGCAAATTCTCAAACCGCCCCCAGTCTAAAATGTAAAAAACAACATTTGGGTACTCCAAACTTCGTACTAGACCCTTATACGAGATAAGGGTCTGGTATGGATTTTAAAGGAGGGGGGGACCCCAAGCAAAAACGCACAAAAAAAAAAGTGTGATTCCCCATTTCACATCAGGGTCCCCTTCACATTACAGCTCCCTTTCACATCGGAGGCATGACTTGTGTGTGAAAAGTTCAAGGCACCCCTTAGAAAGTCAGTAGGCACACCCTGGTTGAGAAAGGCTGTTCTAGAGCATTGGCATTTTCTGCAGCACAGAGCACCCGTACTGTTGGAGATGAAACTCATATATAATATGATGGAAGTATACAAAAGGACGACATGAAACAAAATGGCTACCACATATATTTGGCTCAGACTAAAGCACCTCAGACAAAATAGAGTGCAGTTCCTCTGAAGCTACATTCTGACTGCAGAAAGAGGATGTGGCTATGGAGTTCTGTATAAGCTTCGAGTCATTGCAGTCAATTGACATCAGTTGCTACATTGACCATGCAATATATAGCCAATAATTTCTATTTTGTGTCATCAGAACAAAGCCGCAGCACTCTGATGCCTATGGAAGAACATAGGAAAATATACGCATACACTATATTGCCAATAGTATTGGGACGCCCCTCCAAATCATTGGATTCAGGTGTTCTGGGACATTTCCTTGCTACTAAATATTCCGCGGTCACCTGTTACTGGTATTATAACAAAGTGGAAGCAACTGGGAACAACAGCAACTCAGCCACGAAGTGGTAGGCCACGTCACATGACAGAGCGGGGTCAGCGCATGCTGAAGCGCACAGTGCGCAGAAGTCGCCAACTGTCTGCAGAGTCAATAGCTACAGACCTCCGAACTTTGTGTGGCCTTCAGATTGGCACAACAAGAGTGCGTAGAGAGCTTCATGGAATGGGTTTCCATGGCCGAGCAGCTGCATCCAAGCCTTACATCACCAAGTGCAATGCAAAGCGTGGGATGCCGTGGTGTAACGCACGCCGCCATTGGACTCTATTGTTTTTCAGGGGTTGGGCTTGGCCCCTTAGTTCCAGTGAAGGGAACTCTTAAGACATCAGCACACCAAGACATTTTGGACAATTTCATGCTCCCAACTTTGGAGGAGTTTGGGGACGGCCCCTTCCTGTTCCAACATGACTGCGCACCAGTGCACAAAGCAAGGTCCATAAAGACATGGATGGGGGAGTTTGGGGTGGAGGAACGTGACTGGCCTGCACAGAGTCCTGACCTCACCCCCATAGAACACCTTTGGGATGAATTAGAGCGGAGACTGCGAGCCCGGCCTTCTCGTCCAACATCAGTACCTGACCTCACAAATGGTCCAACATTCCCATAGACACACTCCTAAACCTTGTGGACGCCTTCCCAGAAGAATTGAAGCTGCTATAGCTGCAAAGGGCGGAGCCAACTCAATACTGAACCCTACGGACTAAGACTGGGATGCCATTAGCGTTCATGTGCGTGTAAAGGCGTCCCAATACTTTTGGCAATAGAGTGTATTTACTATATATAAAAGCTGTGTCATTCACTGTCACATAGATGGATCACACAGCTCGTATAGACATGATAACATGAGGTCAGGAACACAGACCGGATTTATTTCCAATGCCCTCTCACTGTGGTCGCAGACATGTACACATAACTACTGCTAGTCCAGATGGATTTCATGGGTCACATTACCCAATATCGAGGTTCGCTGAGAAGTCAAACTTCCCCCTCTGTGGCTCGTGAAGGTTCCAGGAGACGTATCTGGAAGGAGAGAAGAAAGGAGGTTTTAGTAGCATGTCAGCCAATCTAAGAGCTGAGAGGTCACATGTCATTCTTATGGATTAGGGTCACATTTACCAACATGAAACCTCCCTATTGCAGACTTGTTCTGCTCAATGGCTCGGAGCAGTGAATCAGCAGCTTCAGCATTGCAGCCAGATGGCTAGCATTGTCAGAGGTTAGCAATAGCAGCCTCCATGTTTCCCTTATGACAGGTTCCCTTTAAGGAGGAAAGTCTTCTCAAGTTTTAAGTTGGCCCTGAACTTATTGAATCATTGTATGTTCCAATGAATGCGTGGAGCACTTACAAGGCAATAAGAGACCCCAAAATGTTTTATTTTTTCTTCATAGGGTAAATCCTTCATCACTCCTGTGCCCAGTCACATGATCTCTGACCAAAGGGATCCGGGGGAGTAGATAGTGCTAGGTCTTATTTTCGGGGTAGGTCTTACTTTCGGGGAAACACGTTACTGAATTGTAAGCTGTGGTGCTACAGCAAAGATCATGTGACCAATGCCATGGCACTGGTCAGGTGACTGAACATCAGAAGAATTAGGATTTGCCCCGGTAATGAAAAGTGTAACATTCTGAGGTCTGTCATTGCCTTGCAAGCAGAGGAAACACTAACAGAAATGTGGCGTAAAGAACTATTCTCTGTTGACTTTAAAACCTCCTCCCACCTATGTAATGGAGATGAATAGGGGAGGAAATGCGGTATGGATTTAGGATAAGGGTCCGGTATGGATTTAGTACAAGGGCGCGGTATGGATTTAGTACACGGGCGCGGTATGGATTTAGTACACGGGCGCGGTATGGATTTAGTACACGGGCGCGGTATGGATTTAGTACACGGGCGCGGTATGGATTTAGTACACGGGCGCGGTATGGATTTAGTACACGGGCGCGGTATGGATTTAGTACACGGGCGCGGTATGGATTTAGTACACGGGCGCGGTATGGATTTAGTACACGGGCGCGGTATGGATTTAGTACACGGGCGCGGTATGGATTTAGTACACGGGCGCGGTATGGATTTAGTACACGGGCGCGGTATGGATTTAGTACACGGGCGCGGTATGGATTTAGTACACGGGCGCGGTATGGATTTAGTACACGGGCGCGGTATGGATTTAGTACACGGGCGCGGTATGGATTTAGTACACGGGCGCGGTATGGATTTAGTACACGGGCGCGGTATGGATTTAGTACACGGGCGCGGTATGGATTTAGTACACGGGCGCGGTATGGATTTAGTACACGGGCGCGGTATGGATTTAGTACACGGGCGCGGTATGGATTTAGTACACGGGCGCGGTATGGATTTAGTACACGGGCGCGGTATGGATTTAGTACACGGGCGCGGTATGGATTTAGTACACGGGCGCGGTATGGATTTAGTACACGGGCGCGGTATGGATTTAGTACACGGGCGCGGTATGGATTTAGTACACGGGCGCGGTATGGATTTAGTACACGGGCGCGGTATGGATTTAGTACACGGGCGCGGTATGGATTTAGTACACGGGCGCGGTATGGATTTAGTACACGGGCGCGGTATGGATTTAGTACACGGGCGCGGTATGGATTTAGTACACGGGCGCGGTATGGATTTAGTACACGGGCGCGGTATGGATTTAGTACACGGGCGCGGTATGGATTTAGTACACGGGCGCGGTATGGATTTAGTACACGGGCGCGGTATGGATTTAGTACACGGGCGCGGTATGGATTTAGTACACGGGCGCGGTATGGATTTAGTACACGGGCGCGGTATGGATTTAGTACACGGGCGCGGTATGGATTTAGTACACGGGCGCGGTATGGATTTAGTACACGGGCGCGGTATGGATTTAGTACACGGGCGCGGTATGGATTTAGTACACGGGCGCGGTATGGATTTAGTACACGGGCGCGGTATGGATTTAGTACACGGGCGCGGTATGGATTTAGTACACGGGCGCGGTATGGATTTAGTACACGGGCGCGGTATGGATTTAGTACACGGGCGCGGTATGGATTTAGTACACGGGCGCGGTATGGATTTAGTACACGGGCGCGGTATGGATTTAGTACACGGGCGCGGTATGGATTTAGTACACGGGCGCGGTATGGATTTAGTACACGGGCGCGGTATGGATTTAGTACACGGGCGCGGTATGGATTTAGTACACGGGCGCGGTATGGATTTAGTACACGGGCGCGGTATGGATTTAGTACACGGGCGCGGTATGGATTTAGTACACGGGCGCGGTATGGATTTAGTACACGGGCGCGGTATGGATTTAGTACACGGGCGCGGTATGGATTTAGTACACGGGCGCGGTATGGATTTAGTACACGGGCGCGGTATGGATTTAGTACACGGGCGCGGTATGGATTTAGTACACGGGCGCGGTATGGATTTAGTACACGGGCGCGGTATGGATTTAGTACACGGGCGCGGTATGGATTTAGTACACGGGCGCGGTATGGATTTAGTACACGGGCGCGGTATGGATTTAGTACACGGGCGCGGTATGGATTTAGTACACGGGCGCGGTATGGATTTAGTACACGGGCGCGGTATGGATTTAGTACACGGGCGCGGTATGGATTTAGTACACGGGCGCGGTATGGATTTAGTACACGGGCGCGGTATGGATTTAGTACACGGGCGCGGTATGGATTTAGTACACGGGCGCGGTATGGATTTAGTACACGGGCGCGGTATGGATTTAGTACACGGGCGCGGTATGGATTTAGTACACGGGCGCGGTATGGATTTAGTACACGGGCGCGGTATGGATTTAGTACACGGGCGCGGTATGGATTTAGTACACGGGCGCGGTATGGATTTAGTACACGGGCGCGGTATGGATTTAGTACACGGGCGCGGTATGGATTTAGTACACGGGCGCGGTATGGATTTAGTACACGGGCGCGGTATGGATTTAGTACACGGGCGCGGTATGGATTTAGTACACGGGCGCGGTATGGATTTAGTACACGGGCGCGGTATGGATTTAGTACACGGGCGCGGTATGGATTTAGTACACGGGCGCGGTATGGATTTAGTACACGGGCGCGGTATGGATTTAGTACACGGGCGCGGTATGGATTTAGTACACGGGCGCGGTATGGATTTAGTACACGGGCGCGGTATGGATTTAGTACACGGGCGCGGTATGGATTTAGTACACGGGCGCGGTATGGATTTAGTACACGGGCGCGGTATGGATTTAGTACACGGGCGCGGTATGGATTTAGTACACGGGCGCGGTATGGATTTAGTACACGGGCGCGGTATGGATTTAGTACACGGGCGCGGTATGGATTTAGTACACGGGCGCGGTATGGATTTAGTACACGGGCGCGGTATGGATTTAGTACACGGGCGCGGTATGGATTTAGTACACGGGCGCGGTATGGATTTAGTACACGGGCGCGGTATGGATTTAGTACACGGGCGCGGTATGGATTTAGTACACGGGCGCGGTATGGATTTAGTACACGGGCGCGGTATGGATTTAGTACACGGGCGCGGTATGGATTTAGTACACGGGCGCGGTATGGATTTAGTACACGGGCGCGGTATGGATTTAGTACACGGGCGCGGTATGGATTTAGTACACGGGCGCGGTATGGATTTAGTACACGGGCGCGGTATGGATTTAGTACACGGGCGCGGTATGGATTTAGTACACGGGCGCGGTATGGATTTAGTACACGGGCGCGGTATGGATTTAGTACACGGGCGCGGTATGGATTTAGTACACGGGCGCGGTATGGATTTAGTACACGGGCGCGGTATGGATTTAGTACACGGGCGCGGTATGGATTTAGTACACGGGCGCGGTATGGATTTAGTACACGGGCGCGGTATGGATTTAGTACACGGGCGCGGTATGGATTTAGTACACGGGCGCGGTATGGATTTAGTACACGGGCGCGGTATGGATTTAGTACACGGGCGCGGTATGGATTTAGTACACGGGCGCGGTATGGATTTAGTACACGGGCGCGGTATGGATTTAGTACACGGGCGCGGTATGGATTTAGTACACGGGCGCGGTATGGATTTAGTACACGGGCGCGGTATGGATTTAGTACACGGGCGCGGTATGGATTTAGTACACGGGCGCGGTATGGATTTAGTACACGGGCGCGGTATGGATTTAGTACACGGGCGCGGTATGGATTTAGTACACGGGCGCGGTATGGATTTAGTACACGGGCGCGGTATGGATTTAGTACACGGGCGCGGTATGGATTTAGTACACGGGCGCGGTATGGATTTAGTACACGGGCGCGGTATGGATTTAGTACACGGGCGCGGTATGGATTTAGTACACGGGCGCGGTATGGATTTAGTACACGGGCGCGGTATGGATTTAGTACACGGGCGCGGTATGGATTTAGTACACGGGCGCGGTATGGATTTAGTACACGGGCGCGGTATGGATTTAGTACACGGGCGCGGTATGGATTTAGTACACGGGCGCGGTATGGATTTAGTACACGGGCGCGGTATGGATTTAGTACACGGGCGCGGTATGGATTTAGTACACGGGCGCGGTATGGATTTAGTACACGGGCGCGGTATGGATTTAGTACACGGGCGCGGTATGGATTTAGTACACGGGCGCGGTATGGATTTAGTACACGGGCGCGGTATGGATTTAGTACACGGGCGCGGTATGGATTTAGTACACGGGCGCGGTATGGATTTAGTACACGGGCGCGGTATGGATTTAGTACACGGGCGCGGTATGGATTTAGTACACGGGCGCGGTATGGATTTAGTACACGGGCGCGGTATGGATTTAGTACACGGGCGCGGTATGGATTTAGTACACGGGCGCGGTATGGATTTAGTACACGGGCGCGGTATGGATTTAGTACACGGGCGCGGTATGGATTTAGTACACGGGCGCGGTATGGATTTAGTACAAGGGTCCGGTATGGATTTAGGATAAGGGTCTGGTATGGATTTAAAAGGGGCCACACTTTGGTGTTTACATTTTTATATTCACATTTTTACATTCTAGATTGGGTTGCCTCTAGATTTTTAAGGGGTGCCATGACCTAAAAAAAGGTTGAGAAATGCTGAACTACAATATATTACATTTTTGTTTTTAGGTTTAGAAAATCATCATGGGGTCTCGTTCTCACAGCAACCTCTGCCGTTTAGAATGCAGCAGAGGGTGCCATGGAAGGATAATTGGCCGCGTTTCCACCTCGGCATGAAGAAAGAATCCTGCAATTGAAATGTCAGCTCAGAATTTGCCCTTTTTACACATCGATAACATTTCATCACTTTACAGGACGTACGTAGTGAGAGTGTTCAGGCCGCAAGCCTTCATCTTCAGCATGCGGTCCTTCCAGTATTCTTTAGGGACTCGAAAATAGTGCATAGACCCTCCCAGAATCCTCAGCGGCTCCCCCTCCAGCTTGAACTGACCATTCTCTGCTTGGAGGCCGCGGTGTCGAGTCCACATCCTCAATGAAAAGGAATTGTACCCACGCAACCTGCGGGCGAGAAGATGATGACATTTGTATTGCACACGTAAAAAAAACACGCAACTTTACACGTGGACGGATAACACCAAGGATACAACACACATTCACACCATGGCTCTGGAACTAGTATCCCCAACCTTGGATCTACACCCCCCCCAAAACTCCTCCCATTGAAGTGTCACAGAGGCCTTTAGAATGCAGCAGCTCTGTCACTGAGCAAGGGGGAGGTCGGTGGGCGGGTGAATAAATTAAAAAAATATCAAATCCATTCAGCAGCGGAGGGGTCGGCTCTGCATTCAGCAGTAGAGGGGTCGGCTCTGCATTCAGCAGCGGAGGGGTCGGCTCTGCATTCAGCAGTAGAGGGTTCGGCTCTGCATTCAGCATGGAAATAAAACCTCCACTCATGCCTTGATTAGAAGTGATTTAGTGTCGGTCTTACCGTGTCGCCTCGCCGCCAGTGTGGCCGGGATATCATGAAGTAGACAGAAGAGCTGACAAGGTGTAAAGTACAGAGACTGAACTACAGAACGTGACAACTTATCAGGAGACGGCAATGTCCAAGGCTCCGACTGTGATAGGGATGGTTCTGTAATGCGGGAGCTGCAGGCTTATCTAATGTCAGTCCTGAGATGTGGTGGCTGTATAAAGCATTCTCACCTGGTGATCCTGCCACTAACGCACATCCTATCCTAGGGGGACAACAGCGCTTACTACCTGTACTGTATCTATGGAGGAGCTGTGTTGTTACCCTAGAACAGCACCACAGAACACCCCTTCATTGTCAGAACGGGGTCTGGGGTGTATGGTCAGTTTGGGTGTGAGCAGTCAGGCTGGGTGTGTGTGATCAGGTCGGGGTGTGTGCGGTCAGGTCGGGGTGTGTGCGGTCAGGCTGGGTGTGTGTAAGGTCAGGTCGGGGTGTGTGCGGTCAGGCTGGGTGTATGCGGTCAGGTCGGGTGTGTGTGGTCAGGTCGGGGTGTGTGCGGTCAGGCTGGGTGTGTGCGGTCAGGTGGGGGTGTGTTCGGTCAGGCTAGGTGCGTGCCGTCAGGTCGGGTGTGTGGGGTCAGGCTGGGTGTGTGAGGTCAGGTCGGGTGTGTGCGGTTAGGTGTGTGGGGT